TCATCGTCAGACAGGAAGTCATCGTCAGACAGAAAGTCATTGTCAGACAGAAAGTCATTGTCAGACATGAAGTCATCATAAGAGAGGAAGTCATCGTCAGACAGGAAGTCATTGTCAGACAGAAAGTCATTGTCAGACAGGAAGTCATCATAAGAGAGGAAGTCATCGTCAGACAGGAAGTCATCGTCAGACAGAAAGTCATTGTCAGACAGGAAGTCATCGTCAGACAGGAAGTCATCATAAGAGAGGAAGTCATCGTCAGACATGAAGTCATCGTCAGACAGGAAGTCATCGTCAGACAGAAAGTCATTGTCAGACAGGAAGTCATCATCAGAGAGGAAGTCATCGTCAGACAGGAAGTCATCGTCAGACAGAAAGTCATTGTCAGACAGGAAGTCATCATCAGAGAGGAAGTCATCGTCAGACAGGAAGTCATCGTCAGACAGAAAGTCATTGTCAGACAGGAAGTCATCATAAGAGAGGAAGTCATCGTCAGACAGGAAGTCATCGTCAGACAGAAAGTCATTGTCAGACAGGAAGTCATCATAAGAGAGGAAGTCATCGTCAGACAGGAAGTCATCGTCAGACAGGAAGTCATTGTCAGACAGGAAGTCATCATAAGAGAGGAAGTCATCGTCAGACAGGAAGTCATTGTCGGACAATAAGTTATCGTCGGAGAGGAAGTCATCAACGGACAGGAAGTCATCGGCAGACAGGAAGTCATTGTCAGACAGGAAGTCATCGTCGGACAGGAAGTCATCATCCGAGAGGAAGTCATCGTCGGACAGGAAGTCATCATCAGAGAGGAAGTCATCATCAGACAGGAAGTCACTGAGAACAGAGGCTGGATTTGAATTGTCAAAATAACCATTCCCACTATTCTTTGACCACTGGGGAAAAGGTCACGAGGTCGAGGAAAGATGGTTAGGAGAGTTCATGAGGAGTTAGGAAAGGACAAGGCGGTATTTAGGGATTCCGTTAAGCTACATAGTTGTGATGGACGGAAACGCATGTTGGTGACGTCAGTCTGCATCGGCTACAAAGAAGCACCTTCATGTGTTCATGTGTGTCACAGACGACACAAACCACCAGGTTCAAAGTACAACATAAATGAGTTATTAACGGTTACTCACATGATCTGCGTTTCTACGCACTATTTCAATTTAGTCGTCGGAACATTCATGAAATGAGTCAGAATAATAAACTGATTAATAAATAATAGTGACATCCTCTGATCAGAGTAACAGAATCAATAATATTTATCATCTGCCTCCTCCTCACCAGGGGCCCTGTGACCCCTGACCAAGTACTTAGGCGGTGCCCCAAAGTCTGATCTGCATCTCCTGCGGTGCATTCTGGGTAACATCGGCACATCTTACCTTCCCCATCCCCGGTGTGTCCTTGACCTTTGACCGGGCCCGGAGGAGACATGGTGGGACGGGGGGTGGGGAGACCTGCAGGGCCCTGCTAAAGCCCCCATTGTAGAGGAGGGGCTCCCGCTCCGCGCCTGCAGGGGGGTCGGAGCCTGAGGGGGACTTCCTCCTGCGGGAGAGACTGAGCTTCTGAGCCGCCCTGAAGACAGAAACATGACATTAAATGTCATGAGGCAGACGCTTCAACCATAAGCAGTGACGTGCAGTCAAAAAAACATAGAAATGGTAAATACATCATTTTATTTAATAAAGTTGTATTTTTACTGTTTATTCTTAAAGTGCAATATGTGTGTTATTCCAATTGTTTAGATGCTATGACGACAAATGTAGCATCAAATACAAAAGAAATGGTAGAATAAGCAGTGAACAAGCAAAAAACCCATGTTGTGCACTTCGATCCTATATTCTACAACACATACGTCAAAAAGCACGACTCTACAGTGCCTTTGCACTTAAATAGGTTAAGCCAGTAATCATCTACGTATCAAACATGGACCAATTAAAATCACGATAGCTGAGATTTGCGCAGCTGACGTCACCACACCAGCTAGTCAAAATGATGGCGGTCTTCGCCGATATCGCAGATCTGAGACAGAGCTGTGATCAACGTCTTCACGAGGAAACAGCGGCGGATGGATTTTATGTACAAATACAGAGTCAGAAACTATTTCGGGCTTAATACTGAATTGATAAGTGTCCGTTTGCCAGAGAGGGCGAGGTGATTCATCAGAAGAAGGCGGTGCGTTCACTGACCTGGAGAAGAAGGTTGAGGCCTGTTGGCTGGTCTGGGTGGAGACGCTGTGAGTCACATGACTTCCGTCTGTAGTCCGACCCTGAGAGACGAAACACAGGACATCGCAATCAAAACGCGCGATCAATACCTGTGATTGATTACTGATCCGGTGACCTGAGGAGACCTGAGGCTCCTCCCTCTGACCTGAAGCTCAGGTGAGCAGCAGGAGACGCTCCACACGCCCTCCAGATGGCACTGAGCGCTCAGGGGAAAGGGTGGTGTCACGGTGGCAAACCCTTTGGCACCGCCCCCTCCCAGGTAGGTGCTGCGGACTCCGCCCCACCGAGCCCCGCCCCCTGAAGCTACGCGCGTCAGCTGGTGGAAGGAGGCACCACAAACGTCACAGCAGCTGTCTACTGGAACATGGCGTCCAAGGCGAGGACGCTGGAGCTTTTCGAGGAACAAGGAGGCATAGGAAAGGTCCTGGTGGGTAGGGGGGGGGGGCAGGACCAGATCAAGCTAACGTCCAACAGGTTTTCCACACAGTATGTACGTAACTAGTCATTTCAAGCTCCACCCCAAGCGTTTTTTCCTCTGTTTTTTGCGGTTCTGATACTAAATGCCGCTCTGAGATTCGTTTGAATGAAGGAAAGAGAGAGAGATACAGAGAGAGTAAGAGACACTTAACACCACATAGAATGAGGCTCTCTCGACCAATCACAACCCCCGTTCCTGACCAACAAGCTCATCATCAAACTAACTGGTAAACAGACTTATACCACAATATGTAAATACTCCAGTAATAGAAGAACTACTAGTTCTTCTACTACTCCCGCAGTCCAAACAGATGGTCTGAGGATTTGGTTGGTGGCTCTAAATGTCCCGTTGGTGAGTGAATGTGAGAGTGAATGGTTACCCCCCATAACCCTGTATGAAGGATAAACGGCTTTGGAGACACATGGAGGGATGGTGACATTACAGATATTTATATTAGTGCTGGGCGCGTAATCACATATCATTGGGTCACAGTGAGAGAGGAGGTCTTGATCAGTATTGGGTCAGGAGGGGATCAACCGTGCCACCCAATGACAGCATTTGGTTGGCTGGGAGATGACCCCGTGTTCAGTGGTCTGACCTTCAGAGCAGCAGCTTGGCGGTTGAGCTGTGAGGCCACAATATGGCAGCGCTGACAGAGTCTACATAGCTCCTCCTCCGGCTCCTCCTCCTCTTGGGAGTGGCTCAGCTCACCGGCGGACTGCGACCCTTTGGGGTTTGGCCTTGTCCCACAACCTCTTGCATCCTCCTCCTCGCCTGCAGAGCGAAGACGCTTCCTGGTGAGCGGTGAGTCCAAAGGGACCAGAGTCCGGCCCTCCACCACCTGCAGTGAGACAGGAGAACCGGGTCACGGAACCTTTAGCTTCCACTAAACCTGTGGAGTTCACAAGTCCACTGCCCTTTAAAGTCTACCGAACATTTAGAGCAGCGTTCCTCAGCTGGTTTGGCTGCTGAACCTCCATCACAACAGTTTGAACCTGAGTGCATACAGTATATATTACTGTATATATGCATATAATAGTAATAATATACATATAGAATTTCACAGCATGTTTCAATGCCAAAAAAGTCCCACTACTGAGAAGTAGTTATATTCAAATGATGTAAGAATGAATTGCAGTTCTACTGGAGAAGGATACATGAGGTCATCTCAATGTCCAGCGGGTTCCTCTGGTTCGTCCTCAGAGAGGAGGTGCTGGATGGAAGGAGGCTTTTTGTCTCGCTCTGCGTGCGGCTGCACAACTGGGCGGGGCTTACCTCCGTCAACACACTGGTTTTAACATTCAAAAGTACTTCAAAAATAATGATTTGATGAATAATCAATACAATATAACTGCATGTCTACACTGATTTATATATTCAGGTTATTCTGGGTTTTATATATTCTGGGTTTTTCATTATCCTAAAAACCCAGAAATGAATGGGGCTCGCCCAGACCCGGGACCCAGACCCGGGACCCCCCAGTTGAGAACCACTGCTAGATGTGTTTTGGCCCACGAGGTCCTGACTGCATACTAAAAGATGTAAAACACGAGAAGGATTAACATCACAGCTCGTGAAAATAAAAGACCCGATTCAATCCAGACGGCTGAAATAAGATCGGATTCTTCCTCGATGGGCTTTGGATTTGTAAGTCTGGTTGTCCTCCGATACTCACCGCGTATCTCCTGTAGTCTGGTCTGTGAGCATCCCAGTACTGCGAGTACATCTCTGTAGTAATCTGTCTGTAAAAAACTAGTTATTTCAATCAAGTCCTTAATTAACTATCAGCTAATGAACATTGGATCAAGTCTCTGAGGGACTTTCCTTCATCTGAGAAGCTTCAGACTGACGCTCTTCTTTCAATACAGTCGAGCTGAGTGTGTGTGTGTGTCTGTGTGTGCGTGTGTGTGTCGGTGTCTGTGTGTGTGCGTGTGTGTGTCGGTGTCTGTTTGTGTGTGTGTGTGTGTGTGTGTGGACCCTGGGAGGAGGAGGATGATGTCACTGAAGCGTGAGCTGCAGGACGCTGCAGTGGAGATGTGATGTGACTGAGTACTGAGGTCACATGTACTGAGGTCACATGTGCTGAGGTCACATGTACTGAGGTCACGTGTACTGAGGTCACATAAAACATAATACTAATAATCTGATGAGCTGCTGACGCTTGAATGAGGAACAAAAGAAACACGTTTTTGCAACACAGACACACAACACAACACAACTGATTTGTTGTATTTACATAAATAAGCTCGAATTGGAGGAAGAGGAACAGTTACATCGTGTACGAAGGAGCAGCTGTTCAAATAAAACCTGCCGACAAGAATCTACATGTTGTTGTTTATGAAGAGCAGAACTTATGAGAACATGTGTACACGTCAACATAAGAAAAGTCATTTACATCCAATAGAAAAAGGCACAAAATATGAGTGAAGTTGTTAATATAAAATGAATTTATCATTGGTTTACTGTAGGTGATTGTTTATTTCGATATTGAAGGACCAATATGAAACATTTTGTCTATGATACTTCTAGTTGTCTCTTTTATTGATTATCAGCTTCAGGGTTTATCTCATAACAGGATGTTTACGTCATAACCTCTGACGCACTACCAACATATGAACATTTATTAAAACACACATTCTAGATGTTCGTGTTCCACATCCAGGCCGATGTTAGCGGTTGACTCCTCATGAATAATAAATAGCATCAGCAGGTTAAAGTTTGAGGAGAGAAGCTGTTATAAATATGATTTTTATGTCCCTGGTTTGGAGTCTCTTTGCATTCAGAGGCGACTTGTTGGTAAAGAAAATCAAGTCTAAAATCATACAGTCCTCATTTCCTCTAAAGAGTTCCTACAATTTCATCTACAGAAAAGAATCCGTGAAATGAGAATAATCAAAGTGACAGTGTAGTGGTTAGTTCACTGACTGCAGGAATCCACAGCTCTGACTTAGACGGTCTCTGCTTTAACCATATTATAATATAACTTTATATAAAATAACATATCATATGAAACAACATAACATGTGACATGTTAAAAGAAGACCGCTGCTCATCAAATATTAAAGATATTCACATATTTTTCTGGATTTATTTATGTCTTAAATACCAGAGAGGACCTTGTGTTATTTTGGATGTTCACATAAAAAGATAATGATGTGGAAAATGAATATTTGATAGACTTTACAATGATATTTCCAATAGTAAGCGATGATGTTGACATATCTTTGAATCTTCTTGCGGTCCTCAGCTCCGGCTCTGGAACTTCTCCCTCAGATTCTTCACAACGCTCTTCTGACCGGCCTCCGTCTTCGCTCGGGGGTTCGACCCCCCGGCCTTTGGCTCGTCGTCTTGACGACCAGAGGACTCGGATGTGTTCATCCCATACTCCCTCCGCCGGTACTCGTCAGAGTCCTGGTAGACCCGGCAGCGTTCCATGACGGCCATGATGGAGATCTTCTCCCTGCTGGTGGGGGAGCGGATCTGGACATAGTCGTCTTCTGCAACCGGCGACTGAGAGTCCGAAAGCTTCTCCATCACCAGAATCTTGTGCTCTTCGTCCCCAGGCAGGGCCGCCTCGGCCGCCACGTAATAACCGCTGTGGTCGCCGTAGTAACCGTTAGCGACGCGGTCCTGCAGCTCCTGCATCTCCGCAGTGTGTGCTCCGCTCAGCCGCAGGTCCAGAGATCTGGCTCGATGCAGACGCCTGCTGCGCTCGTCTCTTTCCTGCGACGCCCCCTTCGCGAGCAGGAGGTCCGAGGAGCAGCTGGAGCGCCTCCTCAGACCTCCGTCACACAGCTGCTCTGGGATGGAGAGGCTCCGGCCCACGGGGCCCACGGGGCCCTGCTGGGGGCGGTCCTGGTCCGAGTATCTGGAGCGCAGCTCTCGGACGTCGGGCCAGTTGAAGCACTCGGTGGGGGGGTGGGCCCCAAGGGGGGTCAGAGGACTGCGGGAGCGGGCTCGACCCAGTTTCGCAGGTGGGGTTGGGTCCACGGGGTTTGGCGGTAGAGAGGTGGTCGGGTTATGAGGAATGTTGGGTTTACCTGCAGAAGACAAAACATCAAACTTAAACTCTTCCTCCAGTCCGGCTGCTGGTTCTGGATCCATTGTTTAAACTAACTAAACTCCCTCTTTCTTGTTTATATTTCACATCGTTACCATAAACTACACAAATATGTTCCCAAATCTCAAAAATGTCGAACCCTTTCAACTTCTCATATTCCCCAAATTGACATCTGAGGAAGATAAAGCTAAAAGGAGGTCATAGTACCTGCCGCCTGCTTCTCCTCCTCCACACAGGTTAAAGTCCTCCCCCCCACAAGGACCCCCGGAATCCGCTGTCGGACCATCGGCTTGGTGGTTTTGATCCGCTGGCTGTACTGGCGGGCCAGATTGAGGACTTTGCTCTTCGCGTCAACGTCATCCAGCCGGTCTGAGTCCTCGCCGACCGATTCCTCCTTGGACTTCAGCCGGGGAACCCGAAGAACCGGAGCCCTGAGGCTAATGCCCTCTTCCCCAAACACCTTCAGCATCTCCTTCAGACTTCCTGTACGACTCACGGTAGAGGATCTGAGCTGGAGCGGTGAAGGACTCACGGATTTCTCTCTGTGACAGCTGCTGCTGGAGGTCTCAGCCGTGTCTGGCGGGATGACCTTGGTCTCACTCGGAACTTCTTTGGACCGTGGAAGACCCCCAACGTTGCCTTGGGATTGGCTGATCTCTCGCTCCATCGTCTGCCAGACCTTGATCATTTCAGAAGAAGGTCTGAATTCTTCATCATCAGAAGGATTCTCCTGCAAGCTGTGAGACCTTGACCAGCGGATGTCTTCTAGATCCTCTGGATCTGTGCTTCTCTGATCGGACCTGAAAGAGTCCAGGGACTCAGTAGAGGCCATGTGACCCCAGGTGTCTGCTGGCAGAGCCGAGTCCAGGCTCGAGGAAGCGGTGGAGGCTGCGGGATCGGTGTGAACCGCCTCGTCCTTTGGGATGCTGTTGAGCCGGCTGACAGAGCTCCGGACCAGCCCGGTGGGGATGTACGTCAGACTCTCCCTGCGCTGGAGGCCGAAGGCGGCGTCCTCGCTCTCTGCGTTCTCATAGTAGCTCCTGATTTTGCCGATGAGCAGCTGGTCTTGCTTGGACAGGGCGGAGTCCCGCCTCCGTCGGATCCCCCCATCGACATCCAAAAGGACGTCTTCCTGTGGGGACAGAAGGGTCAGGTCCGTGGTGCTGAAAACTTCAGAGGGATCGGTGCAGAAGCTGTTGAGCAGAGACATCCTGACGGCAGGTTCGGCGCTAAGGCTGCCGGTTCGGCTCCGTAGCCGCGGCGACCCACAGCCAAGTGAGTGGCCCTCATCCGGGGCCGGGGCGCCTCGCTTCACGCTGCTGAAGTGCTGAGCGATAGCGCCGGCTTTGTCCAGGACAGACGAGGGAAGGATGCTGACAGCTTCGCCCTCATTAGCCGGCACCTCCTTCGCCTCCTCCTCGTCCTCGGAGGACTCAGCGCTGCTCAGGGTCTTGGAGTCCGAGTCGGTTGTGGCGGAAGTCGGTTGCTCTGTAGCCTGCGGATGTCCTTCTGGTTTCTTCTCCTCTGACCTTTGAGGAGGGGCTGCGACCCGGCATTCAGGTTCTGATTCAGGCAGTCCTGTTGGTTCAGAGTCTGGCTTCTGCTCTTGTGGCAGCTTGTCTGAGGGGGGCTGAAATGGAGGAAAGATGGGACACGTGGTTAGAATTGCAAGTCTGTCAAATGTCTACGTCACTGAAGAAAAGATCCCAGAGTGGTGTTAGACCATATTCAACTAACATGCTAAGAGGTCCAGTTGGAGAAGATTCCTAGAAGCAAAGGTCCGGTAGATCATAACATAACTAGATTGGGGGAGGTGATAGAGGCGGTATACTATCCAGGGCAGGTGCTGCAGCCACTAGGCACGTGGCATTGGACACACCAGGAGCCCATCGGCTAATTGGAGGGGGGGGGGGGGGCTGTATGTCCATGGAGCTGAGCATCAGCGAGGGAGGACAGACGCAGGAGACAGAGGATCAACGTGGACTCACCTCTCTCCTCCGCCCCACACAGGATGGAGTAGACCGGAGTCACTGACCCAGAGTGTCTTTACCCTGACCGTATCATTAACAGGACCCTTTTTACTAAATGATCTCTCTGAGCCTCCGGTTTTATCCTTGAATCTGGCCTCACTTCCCCTGGTTTGCCACAAGCTGTATCAACATCTGCATGTAATCAATAACGTTACACGACTGACCAATCAAATTAATTTGGTACGATTCAAAAACTCTGACTATTTATTTTCACATAACAAGGAACTGAACATATATGTACGACTGCAAATATAAACAACGTTCTCTTATTAACTAAATAAAACGTACGGCTCTTTCAAAATAAGAGAAAATAAATTGTGAAAGTACTTCAATTATAAAGAAAAGAAAAGCTTAATTTCCTTTTTCTGTTTCACATTTGGACTCGACAGTCTCAGCCAATTATCGATAATACATCTAAACCTATTTAAACGGTTTTATAGAATATACTTCCCACTCTCTATCTTGTCCTATCAGCATGTTAAACCCGGGCGTGAGTGCATCACGGCCATTCTCCAGCCACTGGTTAAATGCTGCAGAAGTAAGAACAGAACCGAGTACTTCTCGCTGACCTGTCGGCACAGTTGAGACGATATCGTCCTGCCTGAGATGCACAGACCAGATTGCTCGATTGGTATCAGGTGGGATGGCTTAACTCAAATGCTATTGGTCTGAGCTTTAAGCCACTACCGTGAAGACGACCAATAGAAGTTCCGCGTCAAGTTTTAAATCAAAACCGTCTGTTTTAGCTTTGGGTCCAGATCCGGACTGGTGCCCCCCAGTTAGTGACCTTTTTTGAAGGGTAACTAACTCAGCGAGGAGCCGACGCCACCAGAAGACACTGTGACTATTTGTCATATTACTTCCCAAAGAGACGGAGAAGTGGATCTCTGTGAGAATGTGCGAGTCGCCGGCTGCTCTCTCATTTACCTGCCCGCCCGTTGGCCCGGTTCCACCTGGCTCGTCTTCCTCAAGAAAACGGCCGTTTTTCTGCTCACAGCCGTCGAAGGAGACTCCGCATCCGTCCTCCTGCTTCAACAAAAGTCGGATAAAAAGGTTTAAAGTGGTTTCATTAGGCTGTCAACATAAGTGCCTTAATCTATGCGATTAATGTGGCAGAGATTAATGCGACAAAATATTTTAACATAGTTAACGTTCGTTTGTTGGCCGCTGAAAAGAACCGGCTGCTAGCAGTCAGTTACATCGGAGAAAGCAAGATGCGTTTCGCATTGGAAGTAAAACAAACAGTGATCCAACACCGAGCAGAGGAATTCCTCCACGTGTCAAACACGGACCACCCAAAGCACCGCTATGCTAAGCTAGCTGCTAGGCTACTTCCATCCCAACATCTAACGTTACCCTGCACAGTCTGCAGAGGACCACCACTGCGTCCCTAAAAGACCTGGTTTGAAAACGTCCTGCTGAATGAGGGGACATTGTTGCCACTTGAAACACGTTAAATGATGCAGAGTTGAGAGCAAAGTGGACGAGGACAACAGGAAGAAACACTAGTTCAACATGTTCAACATGTTCTGCCTCCAAGAGGATCAACTGTGTGTAGTTTTGTGTTTAAAATAACATCAACAATTGTCTACAATACACACTTTATAAAATGATTACTTAGAAGATTTAGTCTTTAGAAGTAAAACATTCATTAAAAAGCATTGTTGTTGTTACGATGTTATTGTTGAAATGAATTTCAACATGTGTGATTAATTAGTAATTAGTAGTTTTTATTGATCACAAAATGGAGCACAGGAACATCCAGTTGGACCCTGAAGATGGTCGATGCTCTTAGAGAAGAGAAGAAGAACCTCCTCTTGCTTTATAACTTTGGGTTCATTTGTTCCAGGAGCTGAAAGAACTTTTCATTCTGTCTGTCTTTGGTCCCGTCGTGGTTCTGGAGGTTCTGATGGCGTCATCACCACTAGATGGCAGCACGAGGCCGGACAGACAGACGACTTTGTTACTTTGAGAAGAGTTTGGTTCTGGAGCTGAACTAGGAAATTCATCAGGCATCCATCCATCCATCCATCCATCTTCAACCGTTTATCCGGGGTTGGGTCGCGGGGGCAACAGCTCCAGCAGGGGACCCCAAACTTCCCTTTCCCACATCTACCAGCTCTGACTGGGGGGTCCCAAGGCGTTCCAGGCCAGTGCAGAGATATAATCTCTCCACCTGGTCCTGGGTCTTCCCCGGGGCCTCTTCCCAGCTGGCCGTGCCTGGAACACCTCCCTTGGGAGGCGCCCAGGGGGCATCCTCACCAGATGCCCAAACCACCTCAACTGGCTCCTTTCGGCGCAAAGGAGCAGCGGCTCTACTCCGAGCTCCTCGCGAATGGCTGAGCTTCTCACCCGATCCCTAAGGGAGACGCCAGCCACTCTCCTGAGGAAACCATTTCGGCCGCTTGTACCCGTGACCTAGTTCTTTCGGTCATGACCCATCCTTCATGTCCATAGGTGAGGGTAGGAACGAAGATTGACCGGTAGATCGAGAGCTTTGCCTTCCGGCTCAGCTCTCTCTGGACCGGGGCCTCCTCCAGACGTTCCCAGTTCATCCTCACTACACGCTTGGGTTTACCGGGTCTGTCACGAGTCTTCCCCCATCCTCTGACCCAGCTCACAACCAGATGGTGACCAGTTGACAGCTCTGCCTCTCTCTTTACCCAAGTGTCCAGAACATGCGGCCTCAGATCAGACGATACGATTACAAAATCGATCATTGACCTTTGGCCTCGGGTGCTCTGGTACCACGTACACTTATGAACATCCTTATGTTCAAACACGGTGTTTGTTATGGACAATCCGTGACTAGCACAGAAGTCCAACAAACACCCGCTCAGGTTCAGATCAGGGAGGCCGTTCCTCCCAATCACGCCTCTCCAGTTGTCTCCATCGTGGCCCACGTGGGCATTGAAGTCTCACAGTAGGACTATGGAGTCCCCTACTGGAGCCCCATGCAGGACTCCATTCAGGGTCTCCAAAAAGGCCGAATACTCTGAGCTGCTGTTTGGTGCATATGCACAGACAACAGTCAGAGTTTTTAAATATTTTTAATTTGTCTTTTAGGAAATATCCTCATTTAGTAAATAAATGCAGATTATTGCATTATTATTAATACAAGTTGAAGGTTTGGTGTTGTGTTAGTTCACCACGTGAAGCTCATTAAGCCGATAAACAGCTCCTGAGCGAGCGGGCTTTTAGTGCGTTATGCAGCCGGGCCGGTGAGGAGGAAACAGGAAGTAGATTGTCACCGTGGTAACGCCTGACCAAAACAGAGCCCAGCAGGAGACGGCGGCCAGCACTGAGCTGGTGAAGTCATCCTCCAGCAGGAGGTCCACAAAGTTGCTGTCCTCCTCCTCCTCCACTGCCCCAGGAGACCGCTGGGGGGGGGGTGCCGTCTCCTCCTCCTCTTCTTCATCGTCTGCGTAGTCCTTCCCTTCCTTCGGGTCGCCCTCAACCACGCCCAGCGAGAGAGAGCCCCTCCCCCTCTGGTCCCCCCCAACACACACACAGCCCCCCCAATACTGTGTACTGCTTTTGTGATAACTAATCTGATGTAGAGGAAGAGAAGGAAGAGAAAGAGGAGGCGATTCTTGTTTCTTACCTTGACGATGACTGATCAACAATCAGCAGCAGAAGAAGTAAAGCAGATTTGATTATTATCATCATCATCAACATCCGGATTATTTGCATTATCATCATTATTATTACTATAATTAACATCTTTATCATTATTAATAACATTGTTATTATTATCTTGAACTTGTCATAGAAGTCGTCATGGCAACGCTTTAGGTGGATTTTTTACCTTCGCTGTTTTTCAGTGTTTCTCTGATTGGCTCTGAAGAAGAAAACAGAATCACATCAAATGTCTTGATGGAAGAAACTGGAGTCTATAAACAGGAAGTAGTTCAAATGTATTCCTGTTTACCGGACTGTCGTTGTCCCTGGCGACTGTCTGGTTGAAACTCGTCAGACTGACAGGACAAAGCTTTCTTCAGTCGCTCAGGACTGTACCGATACCTGGGAGGATCTACAGGCGAGGACCACAACGTTCAGTGATACACATGTCAGACGAACACCATGACGACGGACTAACACCTATCCCCATGACGACGGACTAACAACTATCACCATGACGACATACTAACAACTATCACCATGACGACGGACTAACAACTATCACCATAACGACATACTAACAACTATCACCATGACGACATACTAACAACTATCACCATGACGACGGACTAACAACTATCACCATGACGACGGACTAACAACTATCACCATGACGACGGACTAACACCTATCACCATGACGACATACTAACAACTATCACCATGACGACGGACTAACAACTATCACCATGACGACATACTAACAACTATCACCATGACGACGGACTAACAACTATCACCATGACGACATACAAACAACTATCACCATGACGACGGACTAACAACTATCACCATGACGACATACTAACAACTATCACCATGACGACATACTAACAACTATCACCATGACGACATACTAACAACTATCACCATGACGACGGACTAACAACTATCACCATGACGACGGACTAACAACTATCACCATGCCAATACTACTTCATTATTCGAGCAAACATTTGTACACTTTGGAACATTTAACATCAACTTACATATGGAATCCATTTCCAAGATGGCCTCTTTAGCCTGAAACACAACAACATTATTTCCACCTTTGACGCTCTGGTTAA